ACAGTAGCATACCAGTACAGCGAAGTACCAATACAGCAGCAGTACCGGTACAGCAGCAAGTACCAGTACAGCAGTATAACCAGTACAGTAGTAGTACCAGTACAGAAGCAGTACCAGTACATACAGTAACCAGTACAGCAGTAGTACCAGTACAGCAGCAGTACCAGTACAGAAGCAGTACCAGTACAGTAGCAGTAACCAGTACAGCAGTAGTACCAGTACAGCAGCAGAGTACCGTACAGTAGCGTAACCAGTACGTTGTAGTACCAGTACAGAAGCAGTACCAGTACAGTAGCAGTACCATACAGCAGTAGTACCAGTACAGCACAGTACCAGTACAGAAGGCAGTACCAGTACAGTAGCAGTACCGGGTGTTAGGTAAGACACATATGCAACAGTTAGGTATCTTTATCTCGAAACGTTTCGCCTACACAGTAGGCTTCTTCAGTCGAGTACAGAAAAGTTGATAGAAGCAGAAGAGACTTGAAGACGATGTAATCAGTCCATCATTCTAAAGGCGAAACGTTTCGAAATAAAGATACCTAACTGTTCCATATGTCTTACCTAACAACCTGTTGGTATTTTATACCATTTTAATGTTCAGCAGTACCGGTACAGCAGCAGTAACAGTACCAGTACAGCAGCAGTATTGGTACAGCAGTAGTACCAGTACAGCAGCAGTACCAGTACAGCAACAGTACCAGTACAGCAACAGTAGAGGTACAGCAGCAGTGCCCGTAGAGCAGCAGTACCAGTACAGCAGCAGTACCAGTAGACCAATACCGGCACAGCAGCAGTACAGGGTACAGCAGCAGAACCGCTACAGCAGCAGTATCAGTAGAACAAAAGTACAGGTACAGCAGCAGTACCAGTGCAGCAGCAGTACCAGTACAGCAGTAGTACCGGTACAGCAGCAGTACCGGTACAGCAGCAGTACCGTTACAGCAGCAGTACCGGTACAGTAGCAGTACCAGTACAGCAGCAGTACCGGTAGAGTAGCAGTACCAGTACAGCAGTACCAGTACAGCAGCAGTACCAGTACAGCAGCAGTACCAGCACAGCAGCAGTACCAGCACAGCAGCAGTACCAGCACAGCAGCAGTACCAGCACAGCAGCAGTACCAGCACAGCATCAGTACCAGCACAGCAGCAGTACCAGTACAGCAACAGTACCAGCACAGCAGCAGTACCAGCACAGCAGCAGTACCAGTACAGCAGCAGTACCAGTACAGCAGTGCCAGTACAGCAGTAGTACCTGTACAGCAGCAGTACCGGTACAGCAGCAGTACCAGTACAGCAGTGCCAGTACAGCAGCAGTACCAGTACAGCAGCAGTACGAGTAGAGCAGAAGTACCAGTAGAGCAGCAGTACCGGTACAACAGCAGTACCAGTACAGCAGCAGTACCAGTACAGCAGCAGTACCAGTACATCAGCAGTACCAGTACAGCAGCAGTACCAGTACAGCAGCAGTACCGGTACAGCAGCAGTACCAGTACAGCAGCAGTGCCGGTACAGCAGCTGTACCGGTACAGCAGCAGTACCAGTACAGCAGTAGTACCAGTACAGGAGCAGTACCAGTACAGCAGCAGTACCGGTACAGCAGCAGTGTCAGTACAGCAGTAGTACCAGTACAGCAGCAGTACCAGTACAGCAGCAGTACCGGTACAGCAGCAGTACCAGTACAACAGCAGTACCGGTACAGCAGCAGTACCAGTACAGCAGCAGTACCAGTACAGCAGTAGTACCAGTACAGGAGCAGTACCAGTACAGCAGCAGTACCAGTGCAGCAGCAGTAGCAGTACAGCAGCAGTAGCAGTACCAGTAAAGCAGCAGTACCAGTACAGCAGCAGTGCCAGTACAGCAGCAGTACCGGCACAGCAGCAGTACCAGTACAGCAGCAGTACCAGTACATCAGCAGTATCAGTACAGCAGCAGTACCAGTACAGCAGCAGTACCGGTACAGCAGCAGTACCAGTACAGCAGCAGTGCCGGTACAGCAGCTGTACCGGTACAGCAGCAGTACCAGTACAGCAGTAGTACCAGTACAGGAGCAGTAGCAGTACAGCAGCAGTACCGGTACAGCAGCAGTGTCAGTACAGCAGCAGTACCGGTACAGCAGCATTACCAGTACAGCAGCAGTACCAGTACAGCAGCAGTACCAGTACAGCAGCAGTACCGGTACAGCAGCAGTACCGGTACAGCAGCATTACCAGTACAGCAGCAGTACCAGTAGATCAGCAGTACCGGTACAACAGCAGTGCCAGTACATCAGTACCAGTACAGCAGCAGTACCGGTACAGAAGCAGTACCGGTACAGCAGCAGTACCAGTACATCAGCAGTACCAGTACAGCAGCGGTACCAGTACAGCAACCGTATCAATACAGCAGCAGTACCATTTCACTAGCAGTACCAGTACACCAGCAGTACCGGTACTGCAGCAGTTCCAGTACAGCAGCAGTAACAGTACAACAGAAGTACCAGTACAGCAGCAGTACCAGTATACCAGCAGTATCGGTACAGCAGCAGTACCGGTATAGCAGCAGTACCAGTACAGCAGCAGTGCCAGTAGAGCAGCAGTACCGGTACAACAGCAGTACCAGTACATCAGTACCAGTACAGCAGCAGTACCGGTACAGCAGCAGTACCGGTACAGCAGAAGTGCCAGTACAACATCAGTACCGGTACAGCAGCAGTACCGGTACAATAGCACTACCAGTACAGCAGCAGTACCAGTACAGCAGCAGTACCGGTACAGCAGCAGTACCGGTACAGCCGCAGTACCAGTACAGCAGCAGTACCGGTACAGCAGCAGTACCGGTACAGCAGCAGTACTGGTACAGCCGCAGTACCAGTACAGCCGCAGTACCAGTACAGCAGTACCGGTACAGCAAGCAGTACCGGTACCGCAGCAGTACCGGTACAGCAGCAGTACCGGTACAGCAGCAGTACCGTACAGCAGCAGTACCGGTACAGCAGCATACCGGTACAGCAGCAGTACTGGTACAGCCGCAGTACCAGTACAGCCGCAGTACCAGTACAGCAGTACCGGTACAGCAGCAGTACCGGTACAGCAGCAGTACCGGTACAGCAGCAGTACCGGTACAGCAGCAGTACCGGTACAGCAGCAGTACTGGTACAGCCGCAGTACCAGTACAGCCGTCCGAGTACCAGTACAGCATACCGGTACAGCAGCAGTACCGGTACAGCAGCAGTACCGGTACAGCAGCAGTACCGGTACAGCAGCAGTACTGCTGCTGCAGCTGCCACCTTTAACATGAGGTTAAATGGAATAAATATCAAACATCTCTCACTAGGTTAATGGGGTTTCAATCCTATCGACTACATGGGGGTCATAAAGGTTAATGGGGCTTCAAGCCTGTCTACTACACGAGGGTCATAAAGGTTAATGGGGCTTCAAGCCTGTCTACTACACGAGGGTCATAAAGGTTAATGGGGCTTCAAGCCTGTCTACTACACGAGGGTCATTAAGGTTAATGGGGTTTCAAGCCTGTCTACTACACGAGGGTCATATAGGTTAATGGGGTTTCAAGCCTGTCTACTACAGCGAGGTCATAAGAGTTAATGGGGCTTCAAGCCTGTCTACAACACGAGGGTCATTAAGGTTAATGGGGTTTCAAGCCTGTCTACTACACGAGGGTCATTAAGGTTAATGGGGCTTCAAGCCTGTCTACAACACGAGGGTCATTAAGGTTAATGGGGTTTCAAGCCTGTCTACTACACGAGGGTCATAAAGGTTAATGGGGCTTCAAGCCTGTCTACAACACGAGGGTCATTAAGGTTAATGGGGTTTCAAGCCTGTTACTACACGGGGGTCATGAAGGCTGCACCTAACCTTTCCACCACCAGACAAGAATACTTCAATCCCAAAAATAGGCGATTAAACTCGAAGTGTATATATATACCGAGAAACACACCTCTCAGTGTATATACACCCAGAGACATACACGTCTCAGTGTATATACCCAGAGATCATACTCTCCACTCCTTAAAAACCAGTAGGAATAAAACCGATTTACCATTCACCATACCATGATGTTAATAATCATAATAAAAATAATAAAATATTATTATTATTTTATTAATATTTTTATTATTATTATTAGTAGTAGTAGAAGTAGTGATAGTAGTATTGTTATTATCATTGTTTTTATTATTATTATTATTATTATTATTATTATTATTATTATTATTATTATTATTATTAATTATTAATTTAGGATGAAGATATGTTATAAGTGTGCTTCTCCAAGCTACTTCGTGTTTAAGTTTATGGAGTCCATTCCGAGCATCGTTGTAGTTGTATTAACCAAAATTTTACGTCTGTCGTGACGCTCCCCATACAATTTAATTTTTCGTTTTATTTTTTTTATTTTTAATCACACATACATATATCTGGAGAGAGGTAATAAATGATTTTGTGTCACGGGTCATTACTTGGAGTTACTGCTGTCGAGGGTGCACCCGGTGAGTGATGGCTGTGGTGCACGGTGCACGCTACACTGACGCTACACTGACACACACTGGTTCGTTGGTTAATGGAGTTTAAAGCCTATCAGCTACACTAGGGTCATTAAGGCTGCGTGTCACCTGTTCACCACCAGTCAGGAGTACTTTAATATCTAAAACAGCGACTAAGGATATTCATCTTATGTACAGTGAGAGATATGCTTGTGTGTGTGTGTGTGTGTGTGTGTGTGTGTGTGTGTGTGTGTGTGTGTGTGTGGGTGTGGGTGTGTATCCTTGACTAGAAATTGTGTGTGCCGCTAAGCGGACGGAGGATCGAGCCTGCGCCTCTTCAGCTTGTATATTCTGATGTATAAACACCTTTTGAGTAAAATGTAAGAATATTCAGTAGGTAAATATCATACTATCAGTTACATGGACCTGCTGAGCATGGGTCCGTAGGCCTACACTAGTGTTCTCATGAACAGTCAGCTGTTGGTGTGGGTAACAAGGACGCTTAATCTAGCAGTACTTACCAATTGCTGCCAGGATGACCATTGCCTCACCAGCGACGTCAGTAGAGGAAATCTTCCTGATGTATCAAGTCGATTTTATGCTCTTGCAACACCACACCCCTCCTGTCGTGGCGGGGGATATCAGCTGGTGATCATGATGACGGAGGGCAGCACCGCGGTATAGGGGTGATACACCGAGTATTTCTTAGTACCAACACCTTCGTGCAAACACCTTCGGTGGAGAAAACGGCAAGTGTGGTGAAGAAAACGGAGAGTGACTGGAGGTGTCTTGGCTGGAGGAACTTGAGTGAGACACTGACGGTGGCCTTGTCGCAGTGTGGTGAGTGGCGTGCCTCAGGGAACCCAGCCTCCACCTCTGTTTCTCTGTCTGTCTGTCTGTCTCTCTCTCTCTCTCTCTCTCTCTCTCTCTCTCTCTCTCTCCTCTCTCTCTCTTCTACTCTCTTCTCTTCTACTCTTCTTCTTCTCTTTCTTTCTCTCTCTCTATCTATCTATATATTATCTATCTACTAGGATCTATTATTTTTCTCTTCTTCTCTTCTCTATGTTATTGGCATGAATATTATGACTACAGACAGAATATTGAATATTTCTCAGAATTGCTACTACACATGACTAAAGATACTCCTACTACTATACTCATCACTATCTCTACTACTACCATCACCACTACTACTACTACCATCACCACCACTACTACTACTACCATCACCACCACTACTACTACTACCATCACCACCACTACTACTACTACTACTACTACTACTACTACTACTACTACTACTACACACTAAGGGTCAAAAGAACACGGGGAGACATAATAACATACACAATAGTTGAATTGATATGATAGAAAGGGATAGACAGAGGGGATGGAAACAGGTATACAAGGACACAGTTGGGACTTAGGCACGGATGAGCATCAACGATGTTAGGAAGTACTTATTCAGCTTTAGGTTAGTCTATATGAAGTTGCGGAAATGTGGGTATGACAGGTCACACGAGTCTAGGGGAAGAGTCTGCCAAGCGGCATGCTAAGCAGCGGGCCCAGGAGCTGAGTCTCTACCCCCTCGCTAACGTTTAAATGACAGGTCACACGAGGCTCAGAACGCAGGCTCAGGAGCTGAGTCTTTACCCTCTCGCTAACGTTTAAAGAGTACGTATGGCAGGTCACACTAGACTCAGGACATGGGCCCAGGAGCTGAGTCTCGACCCCCTAGCTAACGTTTAAAGAGTAGGTATGGCAGGTCACACGAGGCTCAGGGCACGGACCCAGGAGCTGAGTCTCGACCCCCTAACTCAACTCGGGGAATACACAGACACACGTCATCAATTCATTCATTGCCTGACCTAAGCATAAACATGTGACGTCACTGCAGACTAATTACCGTCATTAGTTAAGTGTTGTAAATGCCCTTTACTCCGTAATCACGAAAAGGTCAAAAAATGTGCATTACCATGTGTTCTTATGTGCTGCACATGACGGAGACTCTGCCTGTCGCTGTGCCTGCCGCTGTGCCTGCCGCTGTGCCTCTAGCTACAGCTGTATTGTCAACTGCTGCTGTTTCTGCTGAGACAGAATCATCACTTCCCTTTGGGCCGGCCAGTGCTAAGAACAGGAAATAAATTTGGTTGTGGCCATCGCAGAACTGGACGAAGTTTGGAACCGTTGAAGAAGTTTCAGCGAGTGCAAGACCTTCCTGACTAAGGTAGTGAAGAACACACACACACACACACACACACACACACACACATACAGAGTGGAAGCTTTATTGAGATAAGTCATAATGACTAAGCTCTATACAGAGCCAGGCATGACGTGTTAAAGCTCTACACAGAGCCAGGCATGACGTTAAAACTCTACACAGAGCGAAACATGGCGTGATGAAACTTCACATGGAAAGAAACGTTGCCGCAGTCAAAGCATGTTTTGCAACGTGTGACTTCTCTGGGAAAGCTGGATGACAGATGACAGCAGTAGCGGTGCTGCAACCTGACTGGCTCAGACAGCTGTGTACCACAGGTCCTCTTGCGCGAACTTGTCCACTGAATAGGTCGAGCGAGTGAAAGAAAGGTTACAGGAACAACTTTCGAACCTTGCCCAGAGAACACTTCAGATTTAGTATACATCACAACTACTAGCCTCCCTGGAGACCCTGTCTTCCTCTTATGGGATCAGAACATTGGTTACATACACATGTGTGCGACTGAACTTGTTGCAAATTTTTAGTTTAAGTTGAGAGCGTCAGGTATGTACGCATGAGATTTACAATACCCCACTGTTCTGTGGCTCTGTACAGTAGCATGCGGATTAAATTACGTGCGTTACGATTATTTTCATTACGATTACATTATTCAGAATAATAAATTTACACGAATAACTAGCATTTTTGTTTTGTTTTTTGCTTTCTGACAATCCTTTGGTTGGTTAATGAGGTTTGAAGCCTATCGACTACATTAGGAACATTTAGACTACACGTAATCTTTCTGCCACGAGAAAAAATACATTAATCCATAAAATAGAGGATTAAAGTAAACTCTGAGCACAGATACACTGACAGACATACACCTCGCGGAGCATACGTCTGTAAATCTTTCAAATATTTCAAGCAGTAAAAACATAGATTACTAATACAATACAATTGCAGACAGACGATTCTAACAATGCAAGACAAGCCACGGGGGATGGAAATCAACTCATGTACTTACACAAGTCTCCGTGCGTCATCAGGAGCTATGCAAAGTTGCAAGAGCAGCAACAGGAGGAATGAGGGGAAGTATCGTGGTATCGTGGGTAACACCATCCATCTGGATGGTGTTACCCATGCTACCATTCCTCCTGTTGCTACTCTTGCAACATTGCATAGCTCCTGATGACGCACGGAGACGTGTGAAAGAACATGAGCTGAAGATTTTCATCCCCCGTGGTTGGTCTTGCATAGCTTACTACGTTGTAATCTAACACTTGTTGCCATGATAAATGTACTGACGGTCAGATCTAGAATCAGCTTCACCAAACACAGTTTCAACCTTCACTAAATTTCGTTACACCTCGTTGCCTGGTTATTATTTTTTAAACTACAACTCCATTAGTTTGATGACAATAAACATATTTACCATGATAGTAACTTACTTATAGTCGTAGATCAAAAACATTTACATGTTTTATCTATGCCAATATATGTATCACTCTGTTATCAAATACAGGAAGTTTATTATATTATTTTGGTCATCAAAACTCTACCTTTGATATAGACTACACATGTTAACTAATGTTTGTAGTTGATGGTCCCAGGGAGGGAGGCAGGGAGGCAGGCAGGGAGGCAGGCAGGGAGGCAGGCAGGGAGGGAGGGAGGCAGGGAGGCAGGCAGGGAGGGAGGGAGGCAGGGAGGGAGGGAGGCAGGGAGGGAGGCAGGGAGGGAGGCAGGGAGGGAGGGAGGCAGGGAGGGAGGCAGGGAGGGAGGAAGGGAGGGAGGGAGGCAGGGAGGAAGACAGGGAGGGAGGCAGGCAGGGAGGGAGGCAGGGAGGGAGGGAGGCAGGCAGGGAGGGAGGCAGGCAGGGAGGGAGGCAGGCAGGAAGGGAGGCAGGCAGGGAGGGAGGGAGGCAGGGAGGGAGGCAGGCAGGGAGGGAGGGAGGGAGGCAGGGAATACCTGTAGAGGGATTCTGGGGTCGGCGCCCCCCGGCCCGGTCTGTGACCAGGTGGATGGAGGGAAGGAAGGAGGAAGGGAAGGTTTAGCTACCAGAGTACACGCTCTGCCTCGTTGTTAGTCGAGCCCGCACCACTCCTTGTGCTGAGTTACTCCCACACGGGTTTAGCGGTTCTTGTAGAATGTAATAGTGAAGTAAGTTTGATCTTGCAAGATGCTTCGCCAGCCATCTACTCCACCTGTAACACCCCCTTAAACCACCACCTGTTACCCCCCACCTGTCAAAACCCACCGTCACAACCCCTGCCCACAACACCTTCACACCACCTTCACACCCACCGTCACAACCACCTGTCCCACCCCCTCCCCAAAGGGGACAAGATCAACACACATCCCCAAACATTTTTTTTTGGGGGGTTGGGTTTTTTAAATTTGTCAAAAAATTATAAAATTATTTTTTTCGGGTTTTTTAAAAAAGAAAGAAAAAAAGCAGAGACTTTTGTTAACACACCTTTCAGGACATTATTTAAAAAAGGGTTCTCTTTTGTATTTGGCCTTTTTTTTAAAACCCCTTTTGTGAGGCTCTGGGGGGTTACGTGGGCGGTTTTCAAAGCATGGCTTGCCCTTTTGCATGTTTTAAAAATTGAGGGTTGGGGGAGTTAAGGGGAGGTCTGCTTTTCTAGGGGGAGAAATTTGGGGGCTGAAGGTCCCCTTCCCTGGGGCTGGGAAGTGGTTTAGGTTTGGGTGGGGTTGTGGGAAATGAGGCTTTTTAGCAGTGAGGGGCAAATCTGTCTCTCGCTGTGAGGAAACCCGTAGTTTTGGGGGGGTAGCAAAAAGGGAACCCCATGAGGGCAGCCCACACCTCTACAAAATGGCAGTTTTCACAGAAAAGGGAGGCGCCAAAAACCCCGAGTAAGGAAAAATTAAAAGTGAAGATCAAGGTAGGAAATCGCTTTTCTGTTTTTTCAGGATGAATGTACTTCATGGCCAGTGAAGTTTAAGGGGGACAAATGGGCCCGCTATTTTAGGTAAACGCATTCTTGGGTTGGTGACTTTTCAGGTTTAAATATATTGAAAACCCTGCTTTTTTTTAATAGGGAAAAAGAAGATGAGAGTTTGAGTTGCTTTCCCTGGAGCTGGTTTGGGGGCAAAAATTTTAAAAGGCGGATAATATCATGTTCCCGGGAATGGGAACAAACCCTTTTCTGTCTCATTTCTGGTGGAAATAAATTGGGAAGGGTAGGAGAAAAAGCTGCTAGATAAGTACGGCAGCTATAGATTTCTTAAATTTCTAAGGGGGGGCCCCAATCAATGTAGCTCTTCCCTAAAGGGAGTAAAAATGAATGGTTTCTAGGGCAATTGGTGTAAATTGGGGCAGACAGATACTGAAAGGGAAACTTGCAATCCCATTCATTGACAACTGGAACAACTTTAGGCAAACATATATGTATGAAAGGGATGGGGTACATCTCTTGGGGCTGGGGGGGGTAGCACTTGCAGACTCAAAATTGAAAAGGGCCCATTGGTGAATGCCTAGATTTTAAACTGAGGGAAAGATAAGTAGGGTGTGTGGGGGAAACAAGCAGGTTCAACACAGGGTTGGGAAACAGTAATGTAAAAAAGGATTCAGCATAAGTTTAAATAAAAAAATAGTCGTCAGCAAACAAAGGGGGACAGC